GAGAACGTCATCCTTCTTCGCGACTGCGTGACTTCGTCACTCACACCATTCAACGTCCCTCTCCTGATTTACCCACACCGACGCCGCTTTCAGGTACAACACACTGTATTACAAATTTTATTAACGCTGACAAATTTTCTATTTCCCATAGATGTTTTTTGGCAGCTATAAGTACAGATGTTGAGCCTACATTCTTTTCTGAGGTGGTCAAAAACCCACTCTAGGTACGAGCTATGAAGGACGAAATTCAGGCATTGGAAGCTAATGGTACTTGGTCGCTTGTCCCTTTGCATCCTGGAAGGAAAGAGATTGGATCCAAGTGGGTCTATAAAATCAAGCGCAAGTCTGATGGAAGCATTGAACGATACAAAGCTCGGTTGGTGGTGCTTGGCAATCGTCAGAAAGAAGGAATTGACTTTAAAGAAACTTTTGCACCGACGGCCAAATTAGTTACTGTTCGCACTCTCTTAGTTGTTGTCGCTGCCCAGAACTGGTTCCTACATCAGATGGACGTTCATAATGCTTTTTTGCATGGAGATCTTCGCGATGAAATATACATGACTCTTCCTCTAGGGTTTGCCTCTCGTGGTAAAGGATTGGTTTGCCGTCTTCATAAATCTCTCTATGGTCTTTGTCAGGCTCCACGTTGTTGGTTTGCTAAACTCACCTCTGCTTTGAAACATTTTGGGTTTCACCCATCCAAGGCTGATTATTCTTTGTTTACTCTTCTGCGTGGCTCCATTGAGCTTCGTGTGCTGGTGTATGTGGATGATCTCGTTATTGCAGGAAATGATGAAGGTTTCATTGAAAAATTTAAACAGTATCTCTCTGATTGCTTTCATATGAAAGATCTTGGCCTTTTAAAATATTTTTTGGGTGTTGAGGTTGCCTGGAATTCAAAAGGAATCTTCATATGCCAACGAAAATATGCTCTTGATATTCTATGTGAGACTGGGTTTCTAGGTGCTCATCCGGCTTCAACCCCTCTTCCTCAGAATCATCGTCTGGCTCTGGCGAATGGGCCGCTTCTCCCTAATCCAGAGCGTTATCGCCGGCTTGTAGGGCGCCTTATTTATCTCACGATTAGTCGTCCTGATTTGGCATATGCTGTTCATGTGTTATCTCAATTTATGGGGAACCCGCGACAGGAGCATTGGGATGGCGCGACACATGTTCTGCGCTATATCAAGGGTAGTCCCGGGCAAGGCTTATTCCTTCCAGCACAAAGTGATCTCACTCTTACGGCTTTCTGTGACTCTGATTGGGCTGGCTGTCCTTTGACTCGCCGTTCAGTTACTGGTTATTTTATTACTCTCGGCCATTCCCAGTGTCCTGGCGTACAAAGAAACAAAATGTTGTCTCCCGCTCCTCTGCTGAGGCTAAATACCGGGCCATGACAACCACTGTTTGTGAACTAAAATGGCTGAAATCCCTTCTATTGTCCTTAGGCGTGAATCACAAACAACCCATGCGGTTGTTCTGCGACAATCAGGCTGCTCTTCATATCGCATCTAACCCCGTTTTTCATGAACGTACCAAACACATTGAGATTGACTGTCACTTTGTGCGTGATGAGATTCAGAAAGGTGTTTTGTGTACCCGGCATGTCTCCACCACCAATCAACCGGCTTACCTGTTTACAAACGCTTTGGCTTCCGCTCCATTCTCACATTTGCTGTCCAAGCTGGGCACGCAAAATCCGCACGCTCCAGCTTGAGGGGGGTATTGGCCGGAGAGGTCCGGATCCAGAGAAGTCCGACTTGCGAGAAATTCGATTTCCGAGAGGTCTGAATTCCGAGAAATCCGAATCTCGAGAAGTCCGAATCCTGAGATGACCGAATCCCATTCTAATTGGGATTGATCTTGATTTATTTGTTTCCTAGTTTGATTATTGATTCGTTTCCTTGTAGGATTTGTATTCCTTGTCTATTTTGGAATTATCCTATAAATAAAGGAGAAACCTCTTGTAATTAGACGGAACAATTCAATATACAAACTATTTTCTCCCTTATTAATTTCTACAGACTTTATAAATTAATTTTGAAAACTTAGAGATTGAGATTGACACTTATTTCTCAAACTACAACCGACATAGGAACTATTTGACCTATTTGTGTGAGACATATTTTCATGGTAAGTTTTAGAATGATTCTCCACATTTAAAATGTTGACATTCTCATATTTCTTTGGAGCTTGCATGTACATATTTTTTTTAAAAGGCCAATTTTTTTAAATTACAAATGCATTAAGGTCCATATAATGAGCATGAACCTAAGGTCCACACAAGAATTTTCCAAAGAATTATTATGTGTGATATATTAATCTATGTTAATCCCTCCGCTATTGATTTTTGTTTCCATTTAGTTTTTCACAATCTCTAGTGCAATATAAAATTTCTCTATTAAAAACTAAATATATAAATTATGAAAATATGATTTTTTATAAAAAAATATTTCAATATGAATTTATTAATATTGAATTTATGTAATAGTTTAATTTATTTTTTATTATTCTTCGTCAAAATTTTCAAACGTTGACAAAAAATGTCAAAATAGGAACAAAAAATCAAACGGAGAGAATAGAATTTGGACATAGTACATAAACTGTTTTAGTATACAATATTTAATTGCTAAGTACTTTACATTTTTTAAAAGATACTTTTTAACTTATACACCTATTTTATATATTTTATTTTCAAAAATATGATATACTTTTTTTCTACCAATTTGTAAATAAAATGATTTTAAAGAAAATGTTAGTTTGCACGTCGTTCCAAATGTGGCAAAGCATTTGGGAGGGAAGGAGTATTAAATTTGACTATATATTTGATATGTTATCCTAGTGGAATAAAATTCCATTACTCTTCACTAACATTAGATCACTGGTAATACAAATAACGTCGGGAGCTATTTTCCAGATTTTAATGCCCCCGGCGTTAAACACTGCCCCCTTCCCCGTTAAGCCGGTATCATTTATCAAGCGTCAAGTGTTTGACGTTATTTTGAAGGCTCAAAAGAGCCGTTTGCCACCCCCTCCCCAACGGCTATAATTTGTTAATATTTAAAAAAATATTTTCCTCTTCTATAACTTCATTCTTTTTAAAAAAAATTAAACACACACCACAAACAAAAATCTATCTCTCTTCTTTTTCAAAAAAGAATTACTCAAGTATTTCTTTTATTTTTAACATGAATCCTTCGGTCATAACGTTCCTTCGCCCGGTCTCAAGCAAGCGATGTGGATTTACCAATTGTACGGAAGTATTCCATCATGGTTCGATACGCAAACCTTGATGAATCTTGAGGATGCGTAGTCGGTTCCAGAAACTCAACCGGAACCACGTGCACCAAAAAAGTGTACGTCGGAAGAGTCACCAATCGAAGGGTGACAAGCTGATGACCGAGCCGACACGGTTTATTCAAAAGTGGCCACTGGAGGAAGAATCGTTGTTGGCGTCCGTTGGGGTTGATGTCTCCGAGCATCCTATCATTGGTTAAATTTATGCGGAGTATGTTTTTAAATATATAGTGTATTATATTATATATATATATATATATTTTTTGTATATTTGTATTAAAATATTTTTTGTTCAATTATATATGTGAAATTTGCACTAAATAGGACTAAAGCATAAGTCATTCCCAATGTAGGACTTAAATTTTTTATTTCCTAAATAGGACTTAATAATGGTCCTATAGTGAGAAAGTTATTAAGTTTTAGTCCTATTTAGATAAATTCCTCATTATATATTTCTCAAAGGTTCAGAAAAAACAAAGGAAGCGATGTGGGGTCGTATCAAGAAGAAGTTCTTTGCAGCGATGAACACGGATGCCTATTACCGAACCCAAGACTAGGGTAAGTTAAAACTGGGGAAATTTGCCTAAATAGTACTAAAACATACTCCGTAGTAATTTTCCAAATGTAGTACTATATATTTTTAATTCCCAATGTTATACCACTGCTCATTGTAAACTGGTCATTATTTAAGTAAATATATACATCCACTGGACACTATTCAAACTAAATGTCTACCATACCATCATGGAACATTATTTCTGCTACTAGACATTATTCAAGTATTATTTTGAGAATAAAAAAGTTTAAGTACTATATTGGAAAATGACATATTTTAGTGCTATTTAGTACAAATTTCACTTAAAATTAACGTGACATAGAGAGAAATTTTGATGTCTCGATTTGAAGACGCGGGACTTCACAACCATTTCGAGTGTTCTTAAGGACAAGGGAAGGTAAAGATATTATTCACCACAAATAATTTAACTCAATAATTCATACTTTTTCTGTCACTGAATTTGTTTAATTTTGATCTTTTCAGTCAAAATTTGTAACCTTTGACCCCAAATTTGAATAAAAATGATATTAAATATTGATACAAAAATAGTTTTATTAGATTTATTATATCAAGTCTTTTCAAAATATAACTTTATCTAATTAATATACAATATATATTTTATTTCACTATAAGTCAAAGGTTGAAAATGATTAACTGAAAAAAGTTAAAATTGGACAAATAATAGAAGAGAAATTTACCTAAATAGGACTAAAACATAATGACTTTCCCAATATAGGATCATATGTTTTTATTTCCCAATGTAGGACCTTTGGTCATTATCAAGTAGTCATCATTATTAAGTCCTATTTAGGGAATAAAAAAGTTTAAGTCCTACATTAGAAAAGTCATTATGTTTTAGTTCTATTTAGTGCAAATTTCACATAATAGAATTATTTGTCCACAAGCTGGCACTTCATTCTCAATTAATGATAACTCAAACAAGAAATCAAGAATGCATTTAAACTATGTAAAATTTGCATAAATAGGACTAAAACATAATTACTTTCCTAATTTAGGACTTAAACTTTTTTATTTTCTAAATAGGACTTAATAATGATCTAGTGGGAGGAATAATGTCCTCTAATGATGGACATTTACTTGAATAATGACTACTTGATAATGACCAACAGTCCTACATTGGGAAATAAAAACATATGGTCTTATATTGGAAAAGTCATTGTGTTTTAGTCCCATTTAGGTAAAATTTCTCTTAAACTATAAGTTTATACTACTTTCATTTCTTTATCACAGGAAAAGAGAAATTTTGTTTAATGTGAGAATTTTGTATGAGATGGAAGAAGTTCTAAAATTATCCAATCAAAACTACCCTCTCAACGCTTAGTACTACACCGTTTGGCGATCAAGACTCCGGTGGGCGGGCCGGTGACGGTGAAAGTGCAGTGGCTGTTGAGCCAATAAGAGTATTGAAGAAACCCGCCCAAATCCGACTTCACTCTGAACAGACCCTTCACTTCAAATCTCACTCTCCCTCTCTGAATCTGATTCCTCAGCTTCTCACTGTGGTCCGGCGATAGCCCAACCTGGCTGCTCACCATGTGAATCTCCCGGAATTTGTACTCGCCGTTCATCATGGAGAACGGCCGGACGTAGGTCGACGCGATGGGGCTCTGCTCGTGGTAGAGATCCACGGCGGCGTAGCGGAACTCGACCCGGCCTTTCTTGTTCGGGTTGGTGAAGTTGGCGAGGAGGGTGAGGTCGCCGTTGAGGAGGTGGCCCATGTCCAGGTAGGCGGCGTTCAGGGTGGCGCTTGAGAGGTCGAATTTCGGGCTCCTCGGCCGGAATACGAGGTAGACGATGAGGACTGCGAGGAGTCCGAGGATGACCACGACCCAGAACACCGTGCAGCAAGCGGCGATCAGCCACGCGAACGGGTTCGTTTTGGATCTCTCCGCCGGGAGTCTCAGGGATGATGGGTGGGGCTCTTGCCGTCGCGCCGGAGGCGACGAGAGGGGCAGGGGTTTGGGAGGTCTTTTCTTTCTCTGCGGCGGAGCAGGGCCGTCGATTGGCTTCTGTTGGGAGAGACGCTGGGGGCGGAATTCCCCCTGTACGGATTCCGGCGTCGGCGGCTGCGTTGCCGGATTCTGGCGAGGCGATGGTGGCGCGGGGGTACCACTAGGCGCCGCCGGAGTTGGGACTCTGAAGAGCCGCCGCGACTGCGGAGGGTCGTCAGTAGGCCTCTGCGGTGGCGGTACATCAGTCGCAGGCCTGTATTGGCGGCGTCGTTGTGGCGGAGGGTCGATAGGTCCGCGCGGCGGCTCCGGTGACTCTGGGTCGAGTGTGGCGGGGAAAAAGTGAGGATTGGTTTCGCGTTTCTTGTGCATTGTGTTGATTTGGGGAAATGGAAGGGAGCAATTGTCGGGTTTGGCGACAGGGAGAAGAAGAAGAAGAAGAAGAAGAAGAAGAAGAAGAAGAAGAGAGGAGACAGACAGCTTGAAGAGAACATCTTGGGAATGGATTCAATGCAGGGCAAAGAATCAGATTTTAGCTAAGCATGGAAGATAAGCCATCTTTTTATAAAAATAAGGCAAATTTGAGCCAAATTAAAACCTCACATTTGGGATGCTTCTATTAAACAAACAATAATACTTACTACTTATTCACAACTTTTGTATACTCTGTATTTTTTTAGGATAAAGCTACTTGTACCCTAACATTTTCTATCCCAATTTGTAGCCCGCAGTTTTGCACCAACATTTTGTGTTGGTGTAAAACTAATTTTTGTTAACGCACCAACATTTTGTGTCCGTATAAATTTTTGTTAACGCACCAACATTTATGTCGGTGTAAACCACCAAAATGTTTGTATATAACTGCGGTGTACAAATGGGATACAATTTTTGGTGTAAATGTTGCATGGTCCTATTTTTATACTAGTATTTTGATTGCTCGTACTTGCACAAAATATTTTTGAGATCGTGAACTTTTATAATAACATTTTGTTTTAGTATGAACTAAGAGATTGTACAATTGAAGCATGAAATTAATCCCTAAATAATTGTAATTTAATCTAATTTTAATTTAATTTACAAGAGAATAAATGAGAGAGGAGTAGGGGGAGAGAGTAGTGTGGGGAGACCACTGGAATTTACTCTGTATTTGAAGAAGAGGAAGAAGAAGAAAGGGGTGAAAGAAGAAGAAAAAGAAGGGATAGGAGGGGTAAGAAGAAGTAAAAAAGAAATGGGGTCAAATTGAAAATTTTAAAATATATAAAATTTTAATTTTAGCCCAAATGACCGGAAGTTTACCTGGAAATGGGTAAATGGACTTTTAGTGAAAGGATTATGTAAGTTCAGGGATTTTTTTGAAAGGATTTGAAGTTTATGTACCACTTTGAACTTCTAGTGAAAGTTGAGGTACCATTACTGAAATTTACCCCTATTTTTTCTTTTCCTTAAATATGCCTAAAAGTCAAAACAGACGATTTAAAACGTGACGGAGGGAGTAGTTTTCTTTCATTGTTTCATTTTTAGATTTAAAATCTAGGGTTAACTATTAATTTTTAATTTGAATTTTTTTCTAATTTCATTCTTTGAAATAGAATGAAGTAATGGTTCTATATGTTATTTATTTGATTTGGATGAATTGATTGAATTTTTTATTTATGATATATTTATATAAAAAAATTGAAAACCGAAAAAAATTAAAAACTAAAAAATCGACGAATTGATATAAATTTATAATTTATAAAAAAATTAAAACTAAAAAAGAAAAAAATAAAAAGAAAATTGATGAATTGATATGAATTTATGATATATTTATTTATTTGCTTGCTTTTTCATATATGATTTTACTAAGTAGTAGAATTTATGAATTTGGATTTTATTTTTGAAACAAAAATTTACGAATTGATATGAATTTATGATATATTTATTTATTTGCTTGCTTTTTCATATTTGATTTTACTAAGTAGTAGAATTTATAAATTTTGATTTTATTTCAGAACTTCTCGAATCCTTGGCTAACTTTTACGATATGTAATTATAATACTATAATTTTTTCATTTTTCCTAATAATATTGTGTTGTTTATTATTTAAATATAAGTAGTTTACATATGTTAATTTGTTAGATCATTAATGATAAGATTTTTAGGGTCATATTTCTGTTTCGGCCCGGACATATGAATTCTCAGAATCGGCTCTGGCGTGTCCCTTCATCAAGCTCCCCTCACGCCTGCTCCATTGTGCCGCATTTGCTGTGATGGGGTGTTGCCCCTTTGTGTGTGATAGCCATCCCACCGTGAAGGTGGCTTTCCTTATTTTTCAACCAATCAAAATAATTCACACGTTCACCCCATCACTTTTTAGTCACGACCTTTTTTCAAACCCTACAACTCATGTATTTTTATCACTCCACGTCATATTTATTTATGCTTCATCAATCTCCGTGAATTCAGCATAACACGTGGTCGATCATCGCTGCAACTTCCCTTCTCTCTAGCCTTCTCGTGTCTGCCAGCGGGTCCCACATTCCTCAGAGAACGTCCTTGGCATGCCCGTTGCAAAGCCCTTCCTTCCTCATTTATCTTTCTCTTCTCTCTTCCCTCGCAGTATTGTTGTGCACCTTGCCTCTTGTAAATTCAATGGCAATCGATTCCGATAACATCAATGAGTTGTAGATCTTAGAGGTTACTCTAAATTTTGTATTCAAACTTGAACACTAGTTATCAAATACACATACAAACAATTATTGTCTATCCACGCACAGAAAATGGTTATATTTGTGATATATTGGTGTATACATTGGGATAAAAAAATTGGAGTACTCCCCCTAAAACACTTTCATGATTTTTTAACATTATTTTTGACATTTTCATTTTTTGCCATGCGATACAAAACATAATGTCTTTGTATTTGGAAAATCAAAGTGTTTCTTCACGTTTCATGTTCTTTTTAACATTATGCATTGACATATTTAATACGGAGTAATATGTAGTGGCATATTTGTTTGTATGTAGTTCATTTTTTGGCATTGTGGTTTTGCTTAACATTATATAGAGAGTTTTTTCTGATCAGTCATTGTGGCACCATGATATTTCGGCAGTGATAATGATAAACTTTGGTTGTGTCGACGGTCACGATAAAGCGCTGAAAGAGGTAGATGATGTTGACAACGATGACACTAGTAGATCGCAATGGCAAACAACGATGACATTGACTACTACTATTTCTTTAAAAATTGTAATTTATTTTTTGAATGAATTTGATTTTAGTTTATAAAAATGAATATAGGTTTTATTTTGGGGATAAAAAATGAGCCATCTTTTTTTTGTCTCTCCTTGTTTTAGTCTTATCCTAGCCATTTTCCTACTAAGAAATTTAATAATTTAAAGAGTAATGCAAAGTATTAGTCCATGTGTTAATAGGATAAATATATTTGTATACAAAATTACTCCTTTTCATCCCTAAATTATTACCCTTTTTATTATTTGATACTTTAGACAACTTTTGTTTGGGTGCGTATTTTTTTTAACATCTGATAAAATAAAATAAACATGTCACCAATTGATTTGTAGAATTTTTGATATTTTAAATATGAAAGTTGTATTTTTTTATCTATATTAATGTGTAAATAAAATTAATTTAAAAGAGGTAAGATTTCGTGTGCACTCAAAAGAATATTATTTTTCAATGGCTAAGTTCATGTGACATTGAACAACTTTAGCTTCTTAATTCTTTGGATCCCGGATTCATTCCTTCACCTAATGGTTATAGTGATCACTATAGCCAATCGGCGGCAGGAGGCACAAACGAATCTATTTAAGTGCCATGGGGGCACATGCTCCCAGTCAAAATATACTGTAAGTGTAAAAAAATAGTTTGTTTTAGTTTGTAGTAATGGAACTGTGTAAAAATAACAATGGCCCTAGTCAATGAGTAAAGAGTAGGGGTGAGCACGGATCGGGACAATCCGGGTTTTAGGTTGTCCCACGTCTTGTCCCGTTATATATACGCAGTCCGGAACGGTTCGGATTACAATCTTATCCCGGTTTGTCCCATAAAATTTGATATCAGAATAAACCGGGACGGATTCGAATCGTCCTACTTTGTCCTAATCGCAAATATAAGAAGGGGGAGGGTGAGATTTCGTTCAAAAAAAGAAACATCTAGCCATCAAGCAAAAACCAATGAGTGGAACGGGTCCAAATCTATATATATACAATGGTAGGGGGAGGCTATTTTGAACAGTGTTCCCGCCCAAAATTAATGGGTCGAGTCACTGCAAAATGGGCTGGTGTTATTCGGGCTGCTTCGAGTGGGCCGATTATGGGTATTTTCCAAGGCAAACTAAAAAAGTTGTTCCCTTTATGTCCAATCAACATTTATTGAAGGGATTTTTAAAATTTTTTTAAGAAGTGTCTTGGAAAAGGCCACACATAGCATGCTTATTATTTGTAGAGGCATGGTTTTTTAAACCATTTGCAGATGGTATTAATTATAACACAGTATTAAGAAATCTTAACTTTTTACTTTGCAGAGATACATACATCAATTAATAATTATAATACAGTACTAATCACATCGAAGCCAACTGTCTTCCATCTGCAATAGTTCAATTCCCTGACTTCATATAGAGCATTGAGTGGCCCATGTAGCTTTATTTTATTGAGTAGATGAGTAGATTTTCAAATCTCTGTTTTCTTAAAATAGATTTTTAAATGCATTATTAAAATGTATAAACCTACCCCCTTATGTAGTATAAATAAACCACAACTCCAAGGCAAACAACAAAAGAAGCATCCCAACGTCCCAAATTGAGGAGGTATTATTTTTGCATTAATCAAATTACATTTTAGAATTCTTTTGTTTCTTGAAAAACTAAGACAACAACAGTCATTTTATTTATTATTGGATCTATTCTTAAATAGTGATGAAAAATGAAAATACTGATCAAAACCACCTCTTACTTTTAATAGTCCTTCCATTTCTAATACTTTTATAAAATACTAAAATTAGCCTTGAAGGATGAATACAACAATGTTTATTGTAACAAGAGTTTGTAGCATTGCAATGAAGAACAAAATCATCTAACAAAGATAGTTTAACAAAACCATACGAGTATATCAATCAAAATGTTTAAAGGATTTCTCCTGATATCTTAGAAACACTGACTCAAGGAATTACAAATAATAAGAGAAAAGTAGAAGAGATTTTATGAAAGATCAAAGCTTACATGAAAGAGAAGAAATTATATTTCTCTCTAAATATAAATTAGCAAGAAGTATGAAAAGATCTAACAATCTTATAATATGTGTTAAAAACCATGGATCAAAAGGGTTATTTTTCTGAATAAAAAATTGTGATAAAAAATATTAAAAAACTAATTCGAGATCTGAAACGAAAATTATAAATGAAGTCTCCTTATTAAATATAGATGTATATACTTAGTGAATATATGTCTCGAAAAAAATATAAATTATAAAAATACTTTTATAACTAATCTCCTTAAATCCAAACTGATTATAAATATATATTCATAAAGAGTAGATGACCAGAGAGATGAAGACGGTGGCAACAGAGAGAAGAAGACCCGAGATAAGAAGACCAGAGAGATGAAGACGAAGGTTGTAATGGAGGCATAAATGAGGAGGTAGGGTTAGGGTAAAGTATATATAAATATATACTGGGCCGCAAATATCAATTGGGCTGGAAAATTTTTCCTGCTATTAGGCCTGTGGGCTATAATTTAATATCTTACTTATTTTTATTAAAATTATATAGTATTATGTAATGTTTATATTAAATAATAATTTGACAATATTTAACAAATTATATATTATTAAAATTATATATTAAGTAATACTCCCTCCGTCCACCAAAGATCTTCTCATTGCGCGTTACGAGGTTTGACCGACTTTATTTTCAATTCAATTTATTTGATTGCAAGAATAAAAATTAAAAATAAAATTTATATAGTAAAAAAATACATGAAAAGTTTTACAAAACGAGTTAAATGCACCGTTTACCCCTGAATTCTTTGAAAATTGCATGGTTTACCCCCGAACATTAAAAAGTGCACCAAATACCCCTGAATTCTTCAGAAATTGCACGGTTTACCCCTGAACAATAAAAATTGCACCAGATACCCCTGAACTCTTTAAAAATTGTAAGGTTTACTCCTGAACATTTAAATAAAGATGACAATTTTGGGTAAAGATATTTTGGAAAATTCACAAGGGTCAGATGAATGATATTCACAATTCTTGTGCGTGGAAGCAACGCCCTCTCTATCTAATAGTTTACGACCAACGATGCAACGTTTTAATTTGTTCAAGGGTATTTGGTGCATTTTTAGTCTGCAGGGGTAAATCGTGCAATTTTCGAAGAGTTCAAGGGTAATCGATGCACTTTTNACAATTTTGGGTAAAGATATTTTGGAAAATTCACAAGGGTCAGATGAATGATATTCACAATTCTTGTGCGTGGAAGCAACGCCCTCTCTATCTAATAGTTTACGACCAACGATGCAACGTTTTAATTTGTTCAAGGGTATTTGGTGCATTTTTAGTCTGCAGGGGTAAATCGTGCAATTTTCGAAGAGTTCAAGGGTAATCGATGCACTTTTTAAAGTTCAGGGGTAAAACATGCAATTTCTAAAGAGTACGGAGGTAAACTGTGCACTTAACTCTTTACAAAACTAGAGATGACAATATTATTTTATTTTATGAAATACTCCGTAAGTTGTTAAAATAAGCAAACAAAGTAAGTTAAGTTTGATTCTGTGAATAGTGTATGGGAAGATCTATGGTGGACAGATGGAGTATTTAAATTAAATAATAATTTGACAATACTTGACTTGACATTAATTTGAGCAAAATATTGAAAATAAAAAACGGTGATTTAAATTGTGACGGAAGGAGTAAGTTAAAAAATGATTTAGAATGAAAATAAAAAACGGTGACCACAACCATCCAAAAAAACGATGTGAAAATTTATGCATCGACGAAAAGAATCGGCCTATATGGAAATCAAATTTATATAATAATTAAGGAGTAAAATACATGAGAGATAGCCACGGTAAATACGAAGGTCGAGAAAGAGAGTGGTAGTGGTATGGAATATAGGTTTTATATCAAAAGATATTTGGCCGGGAAAATTGTAATTTGGGCCGGGAGATAGTTATGGATAGACGGATGGGCCGATTTTGGGGACTATTAGTGTGTTTGTCTTGAATTTTTTTTCGGTTTTGACTTTTCGATCTCCGTATATTTTACTTATGATTAAATAAAAATATATATTTTATATTAATTAGAGAAAAAAATATTTTGACAATATTTGATAAGTTTACTCTACTAAACTATTTTTGTATCTATACAAACTATAAAATTTCAATTTTATAAATTTTGAGGTCAAAGTTTACAAATTTGAAGGATGAATTGTATGAACATGATTTAGTCCCTCAAACTATAATTAATTTGCACGTATAAATATAATTTAATTGCAACAATGAGCTACAATGTATTTAAGAATTAACTATAATTAACAATGTATTTGAGAATTATAGTTAAATTTAGAATTTCATAACAAAAAATTAACATTCTAAAAATATATATACAATGTATTTTATATGTAATGTATCCGGCATGCTCTTTTGATGAATTTTTAGAATGTTATCTATTTGTATGCCTATTATGATTACGATGAATGTTAATTTTTAGTTATGAAATTCCAAATTTTAAAATATTAGCAATGTATCATTCTCTACGTTTACCAGAAATGGGTAACATATTTCTTTTTATTGTTTACTTTTTAAGTAAAATACCATATTCTCTTCGCCCCATTTTAAATTGCTTTTTTTTTCATTATTTGTCCGTCCCAAAATAAATTGTCTATTTCTTATAATAAAAAACTTTTAAAGGTAAATTACTAAACTATCCCTAAAATAAGTCCATCTTTCTCCTTTATCTTTTCATTCATCGCTACTCCCATAAAAAAAGTAAGACATTTTTGAATAATCAACATAATTTTTTCCCTTTCTTAAATATGCTACAAAGTTAAAACGGGCAATATAAAATGAGACGGAGGGAGTATCTTCCATGTTTGTATGCCTATAATGATTATAACGAATGAGAGTTTTTTGTTATGAAATCCTAAATTTAGAATAATAACTATTAACAACGTATCATTCTTCACAAATGTAGTTTATAAAGAAGTATTTTCAAAAATTTTTAACACTTCATATCGACTTTGGTCATTACTGTATAGAATTCCAATTCCTTTTTGGGGAATTATATTAAATTATGTAATCTTTTAGATTTTTAAACATTTTCCATTATTCCAAACATTGACAAATTATATGTAAATTAACCGCCCGTGCATCGCACGGGTACGAGTCTAGTAAATTTCAAGCCTATGAAGTTAATTTAATTAAATAACTAATTAATTAAAGAATGAGTGTATTTGGATTTTTGACTAGAATTAGTATTATATATTAGTATAGTAGATGAAACGGGATGGATTGGTATAAATTTAAGCTGTCCTTCTCATGTCCCATTTGATATTGGGACGGAATGGGTTCAGGATAAAAAAAATGTGTCCCAATATATCGGTACAATTACAAAACGGATCCGGGATTTTTCGGAATGGTCCAACAGGAATGGATTTCACGCCCACCCCTAGCAAAGAGTTTCTAGAATTTCAACACCCTGATTCCTTTGACATTGTTAAACAGTGTCATGGGATGACTCATGGACCGTACGATACTCCGTTCGTCCTACTCCTCCTAACCCCCCGGTAACTCCCACCCCGCCCTGCTCCAAATTCACCGCTCCACCCCCTTAAGTGCATCTCCAAGTTTAGTTGACTTTGGAGTTAAATTGTACGCGGATCGCCGATGATTGGCTGATCACACCGATATACTACACAGTCATCACTTTTTCATTCTGTATAATGCCAACGCGTACCCTTACACCACACTGCTATTATACTTTTATTTTTGGTCTTAAAATACTTACAACTCTTATTTTGATTTTTTCATATTTTTTTACTGTTAGAGTGCATCCCACATCGGAAGTCCAATAGTAAAATAATCGGTATATAAGCTCTTGAGTTGAACTAACTGATCAATTGGATTCAATCTTTTAATGTGGTTTATCCCGAGTGTCTTATAGCCCAATCCAATGATCCATACCCCATCTTAAATTCTATCATGGTATCGGAGCAGGTTTTGGCGCACCTCGTTTGTCAAGGTGTCCGTCTAGACGTTTATTCCTAGCGGCCCGTTAGTCTTTAGCCTAGTTGTCCGTATGGAGTATGTACCCAACGGCCTGTGGTCCGTTTAACACGATTGCTCGTTTGGAAGTCAATACCCAGTGGCTCTTGGTCTTTTAGGTGTTAGCGCTAAAAACAAAAGCCAAGGGAATGAGAGTTCATTTGCAAGTAGTCAAGCGGTTAGATTCAAAATGGCCCCGTTGTCCACTTGAGGGGGAGTGTTAGAGTGCATCTCACATCGGAAGTCCAAGAGTAAAATAATCAGTATATAAGCTCTTGAGTTGAACTAACTAATCGATTGGATTCATTCTGTAACGCCCCGAAATCTGGCCCAAAAGAATTAATTAAATTGTTAGAGCAATTGATTACGAATTGGGCCTAAAAAGGGGTTAAAATTATAATTTGGATTCTAAGCCCAACTTTTATGTCATCTCGTAGGAAATATTTTTGTGATCGCGTCGGTTCAGACGGCTCGCGAATCGGAGTTATGGAGCTCATGTTATGACCATTTAATCAGGTATTTTGGGCCCGGAGCCCAAACCACTAGTATTGGAATTAATAGATAAAACCTAAACTAATTTCAGCCGTAGGATCGTTATCTTCTTTCTTCTTCTTTCTTTCTTTCTTCTTCTTCTTCTTTCTTTCTTCTTCTTCTTCACTTCGGTCGCCCTTCCCCAGCCATCGCCGCAGCTTCTCCTTCGCCGGAAGTCCGTCGCCCACTCCCAGTTCCAGCGCCGCCAATCGC